CATTTTCTTATCCAGGCCACTTCTTCCAATACGCCCACAGGCTCTCCTTCTTCAATCGTAATTTTTGAATCACTGAAGTTGAATACCGGAATGCGGTTGACATCAGATGACCCCACGACAGTTCTTGCCGGTAGCCATGAGTTTACGTGTTCCGATTTATCAATCACAGCGCACCTTCGAGGTAAACTTCCTTCCCTCCTCCTAGGTAATGCAATTGGTACGAGAGTCTGTGATTTTGGTGCAAGAACAGTTCTTCTTAAACAGCAAACTTTTCCCAGGGTTCCACCCTTCATCGGAATTTCCTCAGTTCCGCATAGTAATACTCCAGATTTTAAGTCGACGTTACACTGGTGCCCTCGCAGGAAATCAAGTCCCAGGATGCAGTCATCCAGAATTTTGGCCACAATAACTTCATGTCGATAAACACGTTCCCCAATTTTAATTGTTACATGCAATTTTCCACTTATCGGTATGCGCTGGCCGGTAGCTGATTTCATTCGTAGGCCAACAATTGGTTTAAGGTGTTTCCTGATGTTTTGCCCAAGCAGCCGAACATTCATCACCGTCCTTGAAACTCCAGTATCTAACGTTAGCTGACTGTTTTTCCCGTTTACTTGACCGTCTATCACCAGAGTATTTCCATCGTTAGTTTGCTTGATGTAGATTGTTGGGGTTATTCCACTACCGGCCAGCGCCCACCCCGCAGCCCTGGCTGGATTTAGTTTTCCTGCTGGTCAGAAGTTGAGACCGCTGCGTCCTGGCGGTTCGCCTTCTTCGGGCAGTCGCTCCGCATGTGCCCACGCTCTCCGCATCCATAGCACATGAAGTTCCGACGGCGTGGAGGTACCTGCTCCGTTGTCGTCATTTCCCGCAGACGTAAGGTACGGGAGTTACCACGCACGGCTTCCACTTCCAATGCATGGGCCAGAGCTTCTTTCATGTTCTTATGATGGCCCAGATGAACAGCAGCTCGTACTTCGGGGTCCCGAACACCGTCAATGAATGCTTGGAGAAGCGTGCCTTCAATCATTGACGGAGTCGACCGGAAAGCTCGACGCACAAGTTTTTCGATTTCCACGGACCATTGCTGTAGACTCTCATTAGCACGCTGAGTACGCTCTTTTAATTGCGCTCTGTACACGTGCTCAAGGTGGCTGTCTCCAAAACGTGCCTCAAGTGCGTCGAGGAGGGCACTAAAGCTGAGATCCCCACTTGCGCCGATAGCTTCCAGCACTGAGAGCGCTTGATCACGGAGGGCCAGGGTGAGGGCTGACTGTGCTTCCTTCTGAGTCCAACCATAAGCCTCCATAAGTGTCTCAAACTGTAGCTTGAACGCGGTCCAGGATGTTGTTCCGTCGTAATGGGGAATCTTGAGCCCTTTCGTTGCGCTTGAGGCCACATTTGGGGTGTCAAAAACGGCTGCAAGACGGCTTCGGCTCTTCAAAGGGCTTGGGCTTGGGCTTGCCACTTCCTGCTTGATTTTGGAGATCTCTTCTTCCACTCTCTCCTCTATCGCCATGACGCGATGTTCCAACTTGCCTAACCCTTCCTCCACTTCTTGTACCCGTTCAACAGCCTTTTGCAGTCCCTTCGTGAAATCCTTGTGCATCTCTTCCAAGCGACGCGCTTGCTCCTCTTGGCGGCGAGCTTGATCCTCTTGGCGACGAGCTTGATCTTCTTTCAGCTCCCGAAGCTGTTCTGCCTGACAGCGTGCTTGCTCTTCTTGGCGGCGCGCTTGCTCTTCTTTCCGGCGCGCTTGCTCTTCTTGGCGGCGCGCTTGCTCTTCTTGGCGGCGCGCTTGCTCTGCCATCATTTGCTGCAGCTGTAGCAGAAGATCCACCTGCACAGGCTTGGCTTCTGCATCGCTGGTTTGAGCTGCAGCACCCTCTTCCCTCACACGCTGCGCTTCTGACATTGCACGGGTACTCACTCCTCTTACGTCCTGCGGCACTAGCGGCATTTTTCTCCAATCCCACTTCTGACACCAAATGTTACGTGCCTGACGTCACGTTCCTGACTATGCGGGCTTGGGTTACGGGATTGGATGAAATGAAACACTAATACCGGTTTTCAGACTTTCTATTGCACTTAAGTTACAGGAGTTAAGTTATCGGCGTTCCTCTCCAGCAGAGTCCGGCCGACTGACACAACTTTGCCGTTCACGCTGACCTAACTCACTTAACTGACTGCACTTCACTATTTCACTCACTTTTCTTCTTTTTCACTTCTTCCTTTTCTTCCGAACCGCTTTAGACTTAGAACTCAACTGCCAGCGGTGAGCCGCAGTTCCGCTTATATACCCCCGGTCAGGTTCTAGAACATTCAATTTCGCTATTCTTTTTGATCGTCATGCCTCCAGAACCTTCCAATAATTTCGTTATTCATTTTTATTTATTCTCCTTCTCGCTCCTTAATTTTTCATTTCTTTCACACAAATAATTCCAGAAAGTTCGACAAAACTTCCATCAACTAAAAAACTTCATGTTTACGGCGGGACTCGAACTCGGGGTCTCTGTGGTGTAATCCACACGCCTTACCGATTACACCAACTCGTGTTGACAATTCACGACGAAATTTACAATCTCTAGGCAACGTTTGACAACCATCCATTGACGTCATGATGTCAAAGAGTTTTCCGTCACATTATTATTAGCCACTTATTGAGCCAAAAGCCAAATAAATAATTAAATCAGGATAGCAAAGAGTAGACTGTCCTTGAGAGCCTCCTTGCGGAGGCACCTTGATTCATCGGTAGATTCCATTTCTATATGAATATACCTACGAATATTTATTCCATTTTTGGGTATCAATTCTGGATAACCTCTTGCTCTTTTAGCTGTTGCACTTACCATGACCTATTCTCCCACCCAAGGTAAGGCGAAAGAGAGTGTCAGACTCTTACTGTCTAAAAGGCCCCCGTTCCATCTCCTGCTCTGGGCCGTGGCCGCGGTGACTCATTGCGCTTACCCCGCAACCCCGGCTGAGTGTCTGTGTTGCACTAAGGTAGACTGGAATAAAATGCCTTCGAAATTAAGTCCGCCATTGTGCAATAATTGTGCAAATAGAATTTAAATAAAGTTAACTAATGCAGATATTGCAGCAGACAGTAGGAACGGGGTGGTTTTCAGTCAGTAAGAGTCTGACACTCCGTCCCGCCCCACTCAAGATATGAAGAAGAAGTTATTTAATGATTTTCACCCAAAAAAAACCCATTTGGAATCGTACTCTAAAGGTACTAATATTATAAAGAGGTAAAATTTGTAATTTAAAGGTAAAATTTAAAAGTAGTTAGAGGGTAATCTTTGGAACCACTGGTCGGATTGCCAAAATTCTTTCACTGATAGATAGCTACAATGTTCCTGATTGCTATAGGCTATAAAACATCACGCTACGATTAAATGGCGCCGAGTAGCGGGTGAACCGCGCGAGAGTGGATAGTAATTTATAAAAAGTTTAAATATATTTGAGTTCTTCAGCAGCTTGAGCTTTTTGTAAAGAAATCCTAGAGTTTGTGAGATTCTTATTTAACTAAAACTACGCTAGGTGGCCAAGCAGAGTCTTCTCATTATCATCATCATCATCATCATTGGTTCGGAGTCCTAATAGTGCAATGTCAATAACAGCACATATCTGATAAGACATCCGTCCCCTATGATTACCTAGTAAATTAATACACGAACGGGAATTATTAAAAAAAGGTATGAACATACAACAGGACATGATCGAGATCACACGGATGTCACCTTCGCGTTCCACTTACTATGAATAATTCAATAATTTCGTGACACAACGGAACTACCTCGCAATAAATAGGTACAACACGATCTTATTCCTGCGCATGCAAATCTGTATTAATATTATAAAGAGGTTTAGTCGCTCGTGGATCGCTACGCGCCGTACGGCTCGGGCCTGACTTACAAATGTATGTAGGGGACAATCTTTGGAACAGCTGGTCATATTGCCATAATTCTTTCACTAATGGGTAGCTACAATGTTTATGAGTGCTATAGCGTATAAAACATCACGCTACGATCAAACGGAGCCGAGCAGCGGCGCGCGAGAGTAGCTAGTTAATTATATTATTAATATCTAGGTAATTCTAATTCATTTTGCTGTACCTAAGAACAAGCGGGATTTAGAAAAGAGTGGTTTTTAATCAGCTCTCTCTCTCTCTCTCTCTCTCTCTCTCTCTCTCTCTCTCTCTTACACACATACACACACACACACACACTCTGTCTCTCTGGCTTCGCCCAGAACATTGGGTAGTCTTTCGATGATTTTATATCGACAACTTTTGTTCTCTTTCGGATCACCTCGCTTCGAATTCAATCCATCAGAGAGACTACATCAGAGATTTTAGCTCAATATGCATTGATTAAATATGCTTACTCAAAATAAGGAAAAATATTAACAGCTCTTTTCTTAAGTTCTCATTCTCAATGTTTTGTAGAATATGTTTTTTTTTTAGTTTTTTTGGGAAGTGGAAAATCGTCTTATGACTTCTCCCGCCCAGGGCGAGCCGAGAGGGAGTGTCACTCTCACAGACTATAAACCCCCTGTTCCCTCTATAGCTCTAGACGCGGTCGCGGTACCTTATTGCGCTTACCCAACATATAATATTCCAATTTCCAATTAAAACAGAAAAACATTCCGATATAACGAAACGGAACATTACAATTCCTTCAAGAAGATTCTCATCCAAAAATAACAATCGGCTTAATAATAACAAAAACCGTGATCTCCAAAGATAATCATATCTGATTCGATTTGTATAGATCCAAATGGAATGATTGCCGAACTTTTTGTCGGCCATTTTTTGTTCTTATTCCATGAATCAACTTGCGTAGTTGATGAACCTTAGCAAGACGGAATATCCGTAATAAACTGTCTATAATAACATATTACATCTAAGGCCGTGGTTTAGTTTGCATTTAAAAGTTATTGTGTTGTACACTACAGTGGTAGAAAGATGTGCCCAATATTTTGTTGATGTAAAAAAAATGGAGCTGCAATTTCATTACTTTGTGATAATCTCTGGATTATTTTGCTGGTTCTCCAATGTGTTAGGTAAGTTTTTCTTTGTTGCTTTTGCTTTAAGTCGTGAGTGAGTTTGTGTTTCGTATTTTTATTTATTTCGACGTTTAAGCTTAATGATAATTTGTTTGAAAGAAGCATATTGATACTATACGTTTAAAAAAATATTGACTTACATAGGTTTTTGTACCAACATCAGCTTAATTAAGGGCTGATTTTTCAATGGCTTAATAAAAGGTACCTGGGTAATAATTATGATGCTGTCGCGTCAGAATGTTTGTATAAGACAGTGACAGCAACAATTTCGTCAGATAACATTTATCTGACTATTGAAAAATCAGCCCTTAATCACTTAACACAATAATATACAATCTATCAGTTATCTATGTAGTTAGTTTTTTGTTTTAAAAAACGTTGCCCCACAGAATTTTTCACTGAGTTGTTGGTGCGTTTATAAACATACATTTTCACTACACATCCCACCCAGTCCAATCTTTGTGTGATCCACAAATTGTTGTTCCATGCGGGAATCGAACCCACAACACGTTGCGCGGCATCCCGTTGTAGCCAGTCTAATACTTAAGTTAAAGTTGTAACCGAATCGAATGCCTAAAGCGATCCTTGAACCAAATATCGAAGCAATGTACCGATAACAAACTCACTTTAAAATGACCGAATTCTAATAATATTGTTAAACTATACATTACAACATTATGCTCATATAACAAAAATAAAACAGCACAATGAATCAAAGCAACACAAATACCTTACCAAGAAAATCTTTGCTTAGAAGATTCAAAGTTTTTGTGACAACCGATATTGATCAACAAGGTAAGTACCTGCTAGTGGTAAAGGCTAAAGGTAATGTACGAAAACAAAACCTAAGTATAATGTTGAATAAGTACATGACAACTTTTTATATTAAGATATCGATAGCAACAAAGTTTATTCCGCCTAATGTATAGGCGCACTTGTAATATGAATGGACTTTTCTAATTGAAAATTGTTTACATGCGTTGAGAAAAGCTTTATTAGTTTCAAGTCACAGCGGGACATTGTGAAGAACAGAAGAATATCAAAACCACCTTTGTTTTTTGCTGGGTAAGAGTGAGTGAGTGTCAGACTCTTGCCAACTAAAAACCACCCCCGTTCCTTTTACTGCGCCGTTCCAGGGCCGAAGTCATAAAGGAAATATCCTCAACATTTCCCCATCTATGGGCCAAAATACTGTGCCTACAAACTTTGACAGTAAAGGGATGGTAGTTGGATTAGGTTCTATGTCAGATCACATCAAACAAGGATCTGAGGGTTCTATAATTATTGAACATTTCGTAAAAAGAAAAGCAAATTTTACTTCTTCACCCAAAATCACTCCAGCCGGGGTTGCGGGGTAAGCGCAATGAGGCACCGCGACCTCGGCGCAGAGCAGAATTTACCCCTCACAAAAAAAAACCCAAAATCACTTGGTCTGCCCTCATGTTTCATCTTTTCTCAAGTACTTGTATACCAGTTATTTTTAATTTAACTGTTAGGGCATTGATCCCATGGTCAATACCACCTACCATAGATTATGAGTAGGCGTTGATGTGACATCTGCAAACAATGGCTCGCCACAAAAAACGGATTTGACAAATTGTCAAAATTATAAGATGCAGATTTGTTACTGACCATAAAACAAAATCATAGTAAGGACAATTTGTTATTTAAATTTAGAAATTAGCAACCCGCCCCAGCTTCGCACGGGTGCAATGCTTATATTAAATTGATCCACTGCACTTTTAAATAGATGTTATAAAACATATAAACATTCCTCTTCAATCATTCTTATCTATCAAAAAATCCGCACCAAAATTTGTTGCGAAGAGTTTGCCCGTGATCATTGTTCGGGATTTCATCAGTTTAGCAGATGCTGTTCCTTACTGCTACTGCTACATAGTCAAAGTCAAAATCATTTATTTCAAATAAAAGGTCTATTTTAAGCAGGCACTTTTGAACGTCAAGCAAAAATTAAAAAAAAATCAAGTGGTTTAACTATGCGTGTCAGTCCGTCCGTCTGTCCTCTAGTGCAGCTATTTGATCGTTCCAAAGTAATTCCTATGGAGAAGCATCAGCCATGGTAGCGGTACCAAACGCAATGATAATGATACCGGCCCCGGCCTGAAGCAGGAGAAAGAACGGAGTGGTTATTAGTTAATCCGAGTGAAACTCCCTGTCTCCGCACCCTGGGCAAAAGAAGTAAGTTAATGATTTGCCCTCAAAAAAAAGATCAAGACAATGGTCCAAGTCTATAAATATAAAACACATGGGGCTTCATGGTTTCAATGACGTTCAGCTTGATCTCTGTTACAAATCCTGGCTAACAGAGCTTCAGAAATTTGTGTATCGCCCACTCAAGTCAGAAAGAATTACAAAAATCAGGCTACAACTTTAGCTAAATGTCATGAACATTTAGCTAAAGTTGCAAATGTTTCTTCCAGCTGTACACATAACCAACCTGAATGGATCCTGTTTTCGTTGTCTCTGTCACGTAGCTGGATGTGACATGTCCCGTGGATGTAGTGAAGGCTACTGCGGCCCTTTCTTCATATCCAGGGTCTATTGGGTGGATGCTGGCAAGCCGACCTTACCTGATGATGACCCGGATAGGAAAGAAGGTTGGTACAAAACATTTTTACCCATTAATACTATTAGGTATAACTTTCGTGAGACATTATAAATTTTTTATTATGTTTTCGGCTTACTCACGTAATAATTTGACGAGATACTCGACTAGTTTCAAGTTATGCTAGAGGCCCATATTCATGAGCAACATTCCGCGACACGCGACTCGGCGACTGTCGCGCTGCTACTGAAACTAGTCGAGTATCTCGTCAAATTATTACGTGAGTAAGCCGATAACATAATAAATTATAAAAACTATGTTGTGTTTCGCCGTTTGACAGTGGTTTTCGGAGGCCCTACCCTTCCCCTACCCCCATCTCTTCCCAATCTTTAAATATCCGAAACCTTAATCTCCAAAAAGTGTTAAATACGAGTGCGTTGCTGGGCGGCGCCGATTGCTTATCATCAGGTAATCTGTTTGCTCGTTTCTCTCTCTATCTCATAAAAATCCTTTTCAAATAATTTTAAAAAGAAAAAACAATAAATACTTATTATTTGTTATAATTTCAGCATTCGAAGACTGTGCCCGGGACTACCACTGCTCCATCAAAATCATCGAGAGCTACATGGCAAAATTTGGAAAAGTAAGTTCGTCATTTTAACTATCGCAATCTGAGTATAGACAAAAACCGTCACTTGAGGCCTGATCCAATAACGATTTTTCCAAATTTAAATTTCGTTATAGAACTTAATATTAAACAAAAAAAAAACATTTTATTGAACGTTTAACATCAAATATTTGTCAGCCATGTTTGTGGGGGCAAGCAAAAAAAAGCAGTGCGGGTCCGCCCTGGAGCTGCAGCTGAAGAAGGAACTGGGTGATTTTTAGTCAATAAGAGTCTGACACTCCCTCTGGCCCTACCCTGAGCTTAAAAAAACATTTGATGATTGAGCCCTCAAGAGAGCCAATATTTGTGGCTTTCTACAGCAGCGCCTACTGATTTAAAGACTTTCGTTTTTGCAATCTTTCGTAACATTTCTCTACAAGACCATTAATAAGTTTTCGAGTGTCAAATAATAAGGTCAGAAGAAGTTCTGGGCGATAATCATGTTTTAATCTTACTTCAGTGTAGGTAAGAGACAGAGCTAGACAACTTGTATAGCTATTTCTCTTACCCACACTTTCACAACCACCTTATTATTTGACACTCGAAAACTTATTATTTGACCAGAAATATGTGTCATACCTTTTTCGGATAGGACGGCAAACGAGCAGACGGATTACCGGATGGTAAGCAATCAGCGCCACATGGACACCCACAACAACGGTGGTGGAGTTTAGAGTGCGTTGCCAACCTTTGGGGATTAGGGATTTCGAGATATTCGGATTAGGGAGGGATCTCACTCACACGGTGAAACCCAACGCTGTGGTTGTTTTCTGTGAGACCTTTTCACGCCGATTTTCTGTGAGACTGTTGTTTATCTCTGGTTGAACCAACCCTTTCGTGCCGAAATATGGCTCTCCCACACTTATACATACACGCTTAAACATATTCCAGGATTGTAACAACGATGGAGTGACAGACTGTTTCGACTACATGCTGATTAACTACCACGGCGGCAGGGCTTGCTCCAAACCTCTGATGCTTACACAGTCTGGACGGAGGTGGCTGCAAGCGTATCGACAATGTAGATTCTGATGTTTAATTATAATATTGAGGAGTACTTAAACAATCCTAACTAATATTATAAATGCGAAAGTAACTCCTGTCTGTCTGTCTTTCTGTCTGTCTGTCTGTCTTTTCTTCACGCCTAAACTACTAGGTCGATTTCTTTGAAATTTGGTACAGACATAGTTTGGAACTCGAGAAAGGACATAGGATAGATTTTTATTCCAAAAATCTGCAGGAAGTAACTTTTCCACGTGAACAAAGTCGCGGGCAAAAGCTAGTTAGTAATATATGAAACACACAAGCAAGTAGGCAATGGTTAATAAAGAGTTTTAAAAGTTAATAAAGATGAGAATATACTTATACGTAATGTTGTCACAGTTTGGAACTAGCAAATAGCTTCACTGATAGAACTGACTGACAGACTGACACTTTTTATCTTTAAGCATTGTTTGACACTCAAAAGTAAGGGACTGGAAATGAAATATTTTTTTGACATTCTCAAATCCAGATTTCATTACGACAATGGATAGAAAGAAACTCGAACGAATATTGGACATGCTATGAAAAATAATATAATGACCAAGTCAACAACAATCGAAGCCTATTAAATGTTTTTAATAGATATCAAAATACGGAAATATTTAGCTACATTTCCGCGCTTGCCAGCCTGGCAGAAAGAGAGGAAAAAAGAACGCGTTGGTTGTAACACTTTCTTTGCGCCCAGGGAGAAGTCATTTGATGATATTCCCTTTTCAAATAAAAACTATATAATAATAGCTACATGTATAATAAATGAACACTGCTATTATTAGTTGTAAGTATAACTTTATTAGTAAAATACATAACTTCAGTCAAATAACGCTTAAGATACCTACTAATTAATTTTATAGATTTAATAATAATTACACATGTTCCATGTCCATATTTAAAAATAGTTTCATTTCGCACTAAGTATCAATAGGTTTTGAAAGTAAAATGTTGTAACATCTAAAAAGTAAGGAAATATTTACACAATTTGGATGATGACAATTAAGTAGTCAAATACATTTCTTTTTAACTGTCAAGAATGGTCTATTCTTTATTCCTTTGAATTTAGAACAACAAAATGTCAAATACAACACTCATTTTATTCAAATTAACTATAAAAATACTAAAACAAAGATTTTTAGATAATTTAATTGATTTATTAAGCGAAACAATTTATTTTTTACTGTGTCATCATCCCTTTTACGCACAATAACAATATTATATTTTAAATAGTTGCTTTTTTAATCGTTTGAATTTTCTGATGATTCCGTTTTATAACTTGTGAATAGCGACCTCTATATACCACAACTTAAACTCAAGTTAGACCTACACAGGTGACTTGTTCTCAAACATTTAGGAAAATGGCTTTTCAATAAAACATTAAAAACGGTACGCCATTGCTATTAGAAAAAAAAGTGATATTGGACGATACAATTAAAGATATTTTCAACGGAGGACAAGGCAAAAAGGGGATGTTCTCAATTTGACAGTTTATATTTTTTTTTCTAATGCAATCTCTTGTCGAAATAACAAGTCGCCTGTATTTTTATAATACAGCCTCATTCAACATATACCTGTCTTATATTAACATATTATACAATAAGCCAATGCGAAGGTACTCTAATAATCATATTCAACCTAAAATTAAATTAAAATATACTTAAAATATCTAGAAATATATAACTTATTTACCACTTAATTTTAATTCTAGTGTGATATGTTATGTATTATAATAATAATAATTATTGCCAAATAGCCTTTTCATTAAACTCGTTACAATTTTCTTTAGGTAGACCTTTCTTGGGCCCCTTTCTTGCTCGCCACCCTAATTTCTACAGAATACGATTAAAAATAATTCATTAATATTTGTCATAGGACTCTGTCATAGAAACTAATACCTAAACAAACTCTTCCCTGTTTTTGAAATTTTAAATTTTAAATCAGAATGCTGAGCTAGTCTGATTTGAAACGTTACTGCGTAGGTATACCTAGTCCTCTGATTGGTTGATTAACTTTGAGCGGGCCAATCAGAGCGCCGAACGTCATAAAGATGTCGGTCGCGTCAACGTAAAGCACACACACACTTATTGGGTACTACTCTATTAATTTCACCTGTAGTATATCCGATGTTAGTACAAATAAGTTACCTACATCGCGTTTTTCTACTTTCGAAAAGGAAGTTTTGAAGTTCAAAAACATTATTCTACGCTTACAAGATAACTATGCGAAAGACACGAGTGGGGCAGGTGACTGCCAATCTTCGCTGTCGATCTCTTCATCTGATTCTTCTTGGAAACGGACCTGAAACGAGAATTCGAAATAAATATATGGTAGAGCCATGCTTCGGCACTAACGGGCGGGCTCAACAAGAGTCATACCACAGCCTCTTCTCTCTCTCTCTCTCTCTCTCTCTCTCTTCAGAAACAAACCAATTCCTATAATACTCGAACCCCAAGAAGCCAACAACACACTTGCAACTCGTCTGGAGTTGCTTACCGATTGCTTTACGTAAGCTAATCCGTTTGCATAAAAATCTCTTCAAAGCTCTAAAAGTCAAGATTAGCTATAGCATATAATCATTGACGCCCCTACTACATATACAGAGTATCCGGTGCTGTTGGATAAATCTGAAAACTTGAAAATGCGATTTCCAGCCGTTGCTAAGCCCCTGCTAAGCATAAAGTTAACGGTTTGTGCAGAAGAATCCTTAAATATCCGCAACCCTTATCCCCAAAGGCCGGCAACGCAGTTGTAAATTCTTTGGTGTTGCAGGTGTCCATGGGTAGCTTCGATTGATTACCACCAGGTAATCCGTATGCTCGTTTGCTGACTTATCGTACAAAACAAGAAGCCTATTTGGCAGCAATGGCCTTCCATGATAGAACAGTAAATAAAAATGATCACTAGATCATAGTTCGTAGTGTCAATGAAATGCCAAGCATTTAAAAAAGTTACAAAAAACAAAGAGAAACAACTTACCCAAGGGGCTAGCCGGTTCCCGTCTGACCCGAGCGAACTGCCTTGATTTAGGTTTGCTTGCCACGCCTGGAAGTAAAAGAAGCTTTAGTCTAAAAATTAGGCTCTAAATAAGCACAACAGAGGCGATGAACGATAGATACGTAGTTAGGTAGTTAGTATAGTCAATGCTAATAGAAAAAATTACGTCAAAACTTACCTGGTAAGCGTCATTAAAGGCGTGTGCAAGGGACAGTGCCAAAGCCCGCGCATGCCGTCTCCTGGTGCACACAAACACATGCACCACGTGGTTCTCCGCTGACCCACCGATAGGTCTTCCTTCTACCACTGCGAAGACACGAGCGTTCGCCGCGTCGGCTGAACAGTACGAGATCCTGGAAATATTGGTAAGGCATTTAGCATATGGTTTTACCGATCTGGGTGTATCGTTTGAGAAAATGGAACGGTTTTTAAGAAGAATAACAAAAAAAGTTTTATTGTTATTCTTCTTAAAACTGCTGCTGTGGTCTACAGAGCTGTCGAAGTAAAGTTAATCCTTTCCGTCAGAATAGCTTGAGATCTTAACCAAATATTCCAATAATATGAGATGGCTAAACTTTAGTTGGGACTTATTGATTGCCAATTCAATTAGAGTCATCAAGCCAAAGGAACAAAACAAATAATAGTTTTACATTGTGTGAAAAGTTATTATCACCATTAGCCGAAATACCTCCGCTGATTAAAAAGGCATCTCTTTTTAGGGTTAGGTAGGTACTAGGTAGAAGTAGTTATCCATGATATTTGTGTTCCATTTTATTGACCGTAAAGAAATTCCTAAGGACACGACACGACAGCTCAAACGCCTCACAAAAGTCCGGAAATTTTGGAGGCGTGGATGGAAAATACATACCTACATAAAATAAAAACCCTATTCAATTTTTCACAAGTATGTAATACAGTATTAATATTAATCACTTATAAATTATGCAGAAAGCAGACTTCCTAAGGATAACGAACTCGCGCAACGACTTTGTTTTAGCCGTTAATAACAATTATTGCAACCATTTATTTTAACAGGCATCGATAATGTTGTCAACGTCTCGTTAATTAATAATTATTTTTGTTTAGATAATTTTGTAGGTCAGATGTGGAACATTAATCTTATTCAATCGATTATGTTTTTCTTCCCGTACCAGGCACCACTCGGTTGTAATCTTATTGGCATTGAGAGTTATGATGAGTTTATGTTATCTATTTCGAGTTTCACTGCCCTAAATATTGGCGTTAATGGCAACACTGCTAAAGTGCTATCGCTATGGACTTATTAGTAATTAGGCATAACAATTTGCAAAAATATCCTAATGGTATGTAGTACCTACTCTGCTGTGACATGATTACAATTCTGTTGTGTACAAAAAGAGCTGAAACTCCTATTATCAAAAACGAACCACTGGAAGTAGGATTAAAGTTGGATAAGGACTTTTAAAAAGAAATGAGAAAGACGAATTTCTGAAACAAAGTGGCATTACAAAAAGAAAAAGTTTGCATTAAACCACTAACCCAATGGCTTCTTTGTAAGTTAATTAAAATGGACGCGTTAATCATCAACACTAGAAAGCCGATACTTCTTGCAGCTTTGTGTAGGCTTTACATTTTCTAATGTTTTGTATAGGGGGTCCACGAGCAGATTGATGACCTAAGGGTAATTGATCTGCGCCGCCCATGGACACCTGCAGCACCAGAGGAGTCATAAGCGCGTTGGCAGAAGTTTAAGAAGATTGAAAAGGCCAACACTATTTGATTTAGGCAGTTTGTAGAAGAATACTCATTAGTTATTTTTTATACTGTAATTTGTATTATGACCTAAATAGAGGCAAGTCGAGCAAAACATGCGGTTTCGATTTTGAGACCAAGAAAAGAGAAAATAATAAAGTTTTCGCTTTGCAATTCCTTAGTATCAACACACGTGCAGAAAAGGTACCTACTTGCAGTGCACAGTTCAGTTCTGGACGAGGATAATTATGTCAACAATATGACTTCAGCTGTTAGTAGTAAGGAAATAGATAATAATAATTATTTAGTTTTGTTTTTACCTGTAAATGGAGACGCTCATTACGTTTTCCTGTGAGTCAGCGTCACTCACGACGATGCCCTTAGCACTTATATCCAAGTTCACCCGCTGTAGCTTTTTGTTCAACACTGAAATTAGTATTATATATGTTATTAAATAACAGATTTAACATGGTGTCTATTTAAAAAAGACAAAGATGTACTACATAAACTAACACATCTTAGGTATAGCTATTTCCCTAATGGGTCGGCGGTGTGGTAGGCACTGTCTTCGCCTGATTAGACCGAAAGTCTGTTTTTTATTAGGTACCTACAATGAGCTATTTTTCACAATTTTGATATTATTCTTGTTAAAAATCGCAGAAAACAGGTGGTTGCAAAACGAAAAATAAAACCTCTTTGTTCCAAAAACATAACCTTAACATAACAAAAAACGAATACGACCAAAACACAGTTATCACAAACGTGCGATAAAGCTGTGTTTGTCTCGTGAAACTAAACGTAGTTTGACGAGACCTCTGGACCCTAGTTCGCATAATGTTCTTGACCGGAATATACCAAGTGGAGATATCTCATCTCAGACCGTTCTATTAATAAGACAATAAATCAATATTATGATATAATATTGTTTTATTACCGCAGACATCTTTTGTAACCTCAGGCAGAGATTCATTCATGATCGACTCTTGTTACGATGCAGTTACAAATAATAAAAAACATGTTGATGATGTTGTTAACGATTTTAAGATATATGACAATTGGATTTTTGGAGCTCTATTTAATGATGAAGTTTTTCAAGGAAAATCAGATCTCACAAATTATGAGGATCGATTACAACCATCCATAGTTAGGTGGTGATCGATGTCATATGCTACATTAAGCAAAGTATATAGCTTATATGTAAAGTAACAGATGTCTATATACCTATTTATAAGTAGGGACTTATTAAACCAATATCCATAATTTATTATAAATATGACTTATTTACGATGCAATCATATTATATTGCTACAACTAGACCAATAGTAACAAGTAATTTTCCTTTGCCCTAGGAACAAATAGATGATTCATTTACGTACATTTAGCTGAAAATAAAGCTGATTTGACGGCGAGTGCAGTTGCGGGAGCTGATGCTGCTCGTTCGACGGGAGCTGCTCCAGCGTATCTGACGTCCATGTCACCATGGCCCGAGTCTCGTGCCTCTCGCCACCAGCCTTCCCCTTCACATTCAGCTAAAGCCCATTCCTCGCACAGCTCTGAAAAATAAAAAGAGCGTTAACAAAAAATTTGCTGCAGTGCCTTTCTGAAAAATCTATTGTTAAGCTACGAACATACAATATATGTAGGTACTTATTGTACAAAACACAAAGCACTACGCATTTTTCATATTCCATGAATCATTATCATGACTGTGGTTTACCAGCTAAAGCTGTAAGTAACGTTAACAACTGGATACCAATTACCATTTACAATTACAATTACTTCGTATATATTTAAAATTTTCAATAGAGTAACCTAAACAGGGTGGGCCCCGGAATACAGCCTTGAGGAACACCCCTTTATAAAAGGAAAGGGCTGATATTTTAAAATTAGTTATATCAAAAAGTAAGCGCATCTTACGTCACTCAAAGATCTTTTACTTACTAGTGTGTAAATGCACTAGGTTCATTTAATTAACCATTGCTAACCCAAAAGCTCAACATTACCTACGTCTGGCGCAGAAAAGACTTTTTGTTCTTACGCGGCATTTTGTCGAGGAAGTAAGTAACAACTGTAAATATTATGATGAAAAATAATCATCACATACTGGATACAAAACATGACCTACGAGATTAAATAATAATTACATATGTACGATTTATGAAACAAAATATTTATTAAGTCAATTTAAACGTAAACAATTTATTGATAAAAAAATACTACTTATACTTAATTTGTTACGATTATTACTTCAGTTCGATAGTACGCTTATAAAACGGACATTGTCACTTTACCGTTGATAAATTTTACTTAACTGCATTGAGAAGGCGTTGCAGATCAAGTTACTCCATTCAGTTAATAAGAATTAAAAATCCATACTTAATAACAAAAAGGTAAAGTTGGACTTGTAGAGAATGCTCAATGCATTAAGTCCGCCTAATGTCAAATTGTGCATAAACTATAAAATAAATAAATAAAGTTTAAAATCAAAAAAAAAGATTGCGAAACAGGTTGGTGTGTATTGACCAGCTACCGGCAAAAATGACTCTATTCCTAGAAACATTTAGGCAAATAATTCATATTTAGTTAATAATTGAGTTAAAGACATCCGTGGCCCAACAGGGCCTATGTTCAGCCTGGGTTACGGGGCAAGCGTAATAAGGTAGCCTGGAGCAGAAGGTCTACCTCTGGTAGGCCTACAGGAAAAGGAAGGGGGTCAGCAAGTCTGACTAAGTCATTAAGTAAGTTAGTTAATTCCCTCTCACCGTGGGCTACACATATAATGATTTTTCCTTCACCAAACAAAAAATTTTAAATAAGAAATAAATACCTAAGTCGGCGATCCCTTACCTAATATACTATCAACCATTACACCAACAAGTTATGAAACTTGCTTATAAATAAGTAGCTAATGTATGCAGCCGTAACGCATCGATCGCGACATTGATTAAATAAAATTTATAGCTGCATACAGAAAACGTTACGGAGAAAATTATGAAAATTTACTAGGAAGACTTACGACAGTTTCTAAATACTCCCTTAGGCACCTACTAAGGATTTTGATATTTTACACATCACATCAAGTACTTCATGTCAAAGGATAAAGCAATATTTATGAAACGTCTATTGTTTTACATTTACAAAAAATAATAAATCCTCCTCAAAACAACAAAGGATAGGTTATTTAACCAGAAATAATCTAATAATAAAATTGTAAATGAAGAGTTTAAAAAATTGGGTTTCCAACGGGCATCAAACTCAAGTCGTCGACGCTGCGCTGAGTAAATAAAGCTGAGCTACTATCGATTATTTCTCTTCCTACTTGATAGGTAGTATCTCTCTCTAATTAATAACAACTAACATGCTTACGCAAAACAACACTCAATACCGTATCATAAACAAAATGCATAAATAAAAATCAAAAACGTCAAACAAACGCACGCCATCCCATGGTTTATCATTAATAATCCTAACTGCGTCACAAGGGCGCGAAAACGCACAAAATGGCGGCAATCAGACAGCTATTTTAGAGATATCACAATACATCTAGGCCAGACGGGTGGTATCGATAGTGAAATAGGCCATAGGTCAGTTATTAGGCGTAATAAGTTGAACGAAACACCGCCACTGATGCGTACGAGTGCCTGATAAACTTATGATGCGTTTCTGTAACTGGTTTCAACTGGTTTCGTGGTATATGTAAAGGAAATTAATAATAATTTAACATGTGATCATATTGCGTTAGAACTTTAATGCAGTTGTTTGACATGAGTATCGGTTGTAGGTACACATACGCCTTTGTGCCATAAAAAACTATTAAAGGGAAGCAAGAATCTAAGCGCCATTTACTTTCAACTTATTGTAAATTACCCTGCACATCTTAATTTAAAAAAAAAGAGAATGACCCATTTAAGACCAATCAAATTACACGCCTATGATAAGTAAAAAAAAATGCGTAACAATTAGTAGATAACAAACGCACTTAAATTTTAGTTGGTCACATACAATCTGACTACATAGCTTTAAATCGATAAAAGCGCTGTAAAATTAATTAATCGCTTTTCCCAACAAGCTTTCACGTTTAGTTTTTGCGCAGAACTTACGCTTTGGCTAGGTAAGTGCAACGTTTTAACAAGAATGTTGGCCGCTCCGCTTAGCTGGTTCGTTCTCCATTTGATCACAGCCTTTCCATCCAATTAATAATTTATCACTTAGCGAGAAATATCATGATAGATACTGCTTTTATTTAGATAAAAAATATTGGTCAGGGTTATGAAGATATTGGTCAACGGAACTCAAGATTCCTATTACACTTGGGCTATTCTTTGGACTTGGACAAGCATAAAAAAATAACTTTCTTATTGTAAGTATAACTTAGGTTTTAATGGAGGTTTTTCTTTTTCAGACAGAAGTTTTGTCAACATTCTTTCTTTTCACAACCTACGGCACAACTAAAGTTATAAAATTATACTCACCTTCTGCGAGTTACTTTATCGCTATTCATGAAGTGACAATTCTCATATTTAAGTCTGAAATCTAACGTTTTAAAAAATGGGATAACCATTTAAAAACCTTTTAAATAAAACGTATGTCGACAAACAAACATGAAATACACAGATCACTTGATGGTGCGCACATAACAAAAACCATAGGGTTTTTGTTATACGTATGTTCCAAGCCGGTAACGCACTTGGAACATACTATATGTATGTCCGAAGTGCGTTGCCGGCCTTTCGGGTAGGTAAGAGATTTGGAAATTTAGAGATCTGGGGCCAAGGGCACACAGATCGCCGTGCCGCACATAACAAAAACCATAGGTTAGGGGGGAGGCGTGATTGGGCGATGGCCCAGGGCAACAAATTCTGAGGGGCGCCAAGGTCTGTAGTTAGAGTCTCTTGTCTCTCCTTGTGCTAACCCTCAGAACTGTGCTCTACGCTCTGTGCATATGCATATCCTTTTAATGAGATTTATTTTAGATGATTTTTTGAGGACTTGTGCTCCAGGAGTGACTCTAACGATATCAATACGATCAGCAAAAAAACGGACACTTGATATTGCTTCCCTCAAGTTGGCGCCACATTACTTATTTTCGCCCGGGGTGTCAGTGGCCCTTACGCCGGCACTGCTGGGGATTAATGGATTGGCGATATGGGAAGGGGGAGATTGCGCCTCAGCAAAATAGAACACTTGCTTTGGTATCTTCGGTTAGTTTACAATATTAGGTAAGTTTAACCTTTCCGTTGTGGTAATTACCTACAGACACAATAGGTGCGCGAACGCCGCATTCGCTTATGATTTGAAGAGTAATAAAAAAATAAGGAAGGAAGTACCTAATACATATTTTATTCTTCTGACATGAGCTATCGACGGAGGAGACCCGACTGTCAATCTACTGATAACACTCTCTTTGTGGACATTTCGCCGCGATGCAATACAAGCAATTAAAATGATAATTATGGAAAAGATCACTTGAACTTCGCCGCGTTTTAACCTAGTTGTGACACTGATTATCTGAGTACATTTGTATATATACTATACTTAATTTAAATTCATGTGTGGTTGGCTGTAAGGAGAAAGGAATCCTACTATTGGTTTAGGTGGTCAACTAAAAGGTCTTATAAAATAAATAAAAATATTTTTTTTATGTAATAGGTTGGCAAACGAGCAGACGGATTACCTGATGGTAAGCAATCAGCGCCGCCCATGGACACCCGCAACGGAAGAGTTACGAGTGCGTTGCCGACCTTTTAGGGATTAGGGATTTGGAGATTTAGGGATTGGGGGCGGGGTAGGATTGTGCCTCCGGTAACCTCACTCACACGGCGAAACACAACGCTGTGGTTGTTTCACGCCGGTCTTCTGTGAGGCCGTGGTATCACTCCGGTCGAGCTGACCCATTCGTGCCGAAGCATGGCTCTCCCACACTTTAAATATATTAAGTAATTTGTTAGCTTACATAGATGTAGGTACCTAAATACCTCATTTTAAGCCCTTTTACATAAAAGTTCATGCTAAGATCGTTTACATTTAGTTAATTTCTTTCATAATAGGTAGACCATAATCCTAAGTATCTACCTACTTTATGTTGGTATGTTTATCATAAACGCGAAAGTGTTTATGTATGGATGTATGTTTGCACGTTAAATCTTAAAAACTTATCCTGAACGGCGAACTTATTCCGCGAACGCAAACAGAATACCTAGATAGGAACTGTTTTCCAAGTTTCCTTATCAAATAATTATACTTTCCAATACGATCCCGTTACCCTAGCTTTTGAAAAAAGTAAAACAACTCGACATTATAGGCAATACGCGCAATCACCTCTCATTTCACAGCATACATTGCCGCGTTAGTTCAGAAATCATTTCATAGACACCTAATACAATGTGCGATGTAGTATAAAGCTGGTATTACGGACAACTTTTTTCGCTGTCACCCATTTAAGGCTTAGCGAGAGCTCCTAATTCCGGAGTAATTAGAGAAACTTGCCCCGGAGATGGTCTGTGCCCTTTTGCGACGTTACTCAGGTTCGTACTCGGAACCTTTAATGAAGACGTAAAAAGGTGAACGCAGAATAATTGAGTGTGCCATTAAATGTGAACGCAACTTGTCTATGTTCTGTTGCAATTTGAAAATGGGCGCGCAAACAGGTCCCGTTCTAACTGCACATTACCTACGCTGTGATTAATGAAAATAGGAAATTATGGCGCGCTTTTCCATTTTCGTGTTTGATGTTATTAACGATAATTTCGTATTAATTTAATATCATTGGTGTAAGTAATGATTGCGTCGAAATTTAAATGGTATAAAATGACTCCGGTTGCGATTTCCCTAAGCTTTTTATTTATTGATTTTTAGAGTAGGTACCTAGACTTGATAAAAACCTCGAGGTTGTGAAAATAGTTATAGAGTTCTGTACTAAATGACCTCATTTTCGCTATTTACATAATATGTTTTTCCTATGATCCTTCTGTCACAACTCAAGAAAAATTAACTAAGAAAATAATTCAAAATCAAGGTAAAGAAAGAATAAGATTCTCAGCCCATAATCACCCCGAGAACTACTATCCAAAATTCTCATAACAGCTTACCATCAAGGAAATAGTGGATCACGGACAAATTAAGTATCTTAAAAGCAGCCTTAGGATTGGGTTTTAAGTCTTGCCCTATATTAATGTACCTACTTAATAAATCGGTATCTACCTAAGTACCTAATTAGTAATATTTCAGTCGGTACCTAGGTATTTTTTATCCAAGTTTACTACTAAACAATTTCTAGAATTTAAGGATTAATCTGCGGCAGACAGTCAGCTTTATACCCTTTGAACCTATAAGGCTTTTGACAATTTAGAAACTTTTTCTTCATGGACCATTAAACAAACACGCCTACAAAACTAATACTTAGTTAGGTACCTACTTTAAAACAAAACTAAATTATTTTTCATAAAAATGAAGTTAGTGTACCTATATGTAATTACATCACCTCTTGTTATTATTAGAATAGACTATGTGAAAAAATATATTATTTTTTTGAATTTATAAAAATATCTATAAATACTTAACTAACTTACTTTATGAAAAAAAATCTATGCTCTTTTTTCTCGAATTATTATGATTTTAAAATAATAGATTAGGCATCCAACTCTTACTACTTATAAGCATATAAGGAATATAATAATATGTAAACTTTATAAACCGTTTTATTTATTTACCTATTTAAGTTTTTGACCTATAGCATATTAAATATATTAAATAAAATACTCACTTTTATGCTTGGAATGGGTCTTCCACATTTTTCTTAGAAGCATTGTCATTTTCGAATTTCAAAATCGAACTCGACAAAAAAAAAAATATTTAAAGATGGCGGTACGACTTTTCCCGCGCGCGGTCCCCGATATACTGCTCGGTGGTTTGAAGTTTGTAAAGTCTGAGCTGAGAGCACATGCAATGTACATAAATATGATCGACCCTTTACCGTCTGAAAAAGAGGACAACACAACTACTTCGAGACGAGATCAATGCGTATAGGTATTTATATTTTTTTTTTATTTATCTACTAGCTAGTATAGGTGCAACGCTGACAATACTTTTCTCGACTGTTTAATGGATGTGGATATTTGTATACACTATTATCTAAACCTCCGTCTGTATCAACATATTAAAAAAAACACCAAAAATCGTTTTTATACCATAGGTACTATTGGTACATTTCAAATCGTAAACTTGTAGGTACCGCGCGGGCTAATTTGTATGCAGAAACTAAGGGTTAACACATAACTTTTAAATACTGGGATTACTTTTTCAGGTTATTAATAATATTAGCTAGTACGATAACAATAACAACAACACATAAGTAGATAATCGTAACTCCTCCGTTGTTGTGGGTGTATGGACATGCTTTCCATCAAGTAACACGTCGGCTCGCTTTGTATAGCAATGAATAATAATAATAAAATAAAAATGGATAACGTTTTGCAAAAGATTGTTTATAATATTTAAGTCACAGTAATTTCAATAGTGTGTGTCGTGGTGGCCCGGAGGTTAAGGAGCCCGCTTCTCATGCATGAGGGTGTGGGTTCGAAACCTGGCAAGTACCAATGTGACTTTTTCCGAGTTATAAGAACTTTCTATGATTATTTAGACATCACTGACAAACGGTGAAGGTAAACATCGTGAGGAAACCTGGACTTATAATTTCTAATTATAAGTTTGAAATCGCCAACCCGCATTGAGCAAGCGTGGTGATTAACGCTCTCACCTTCTCCGTATGAGAAGAGGCCTTTGCTCAGTAGTGGACGCTTATAGGCTGATGATGATGATCATGAATTTCAATAGTTAACTTTTAGACATTTACGTAATGCAAGGTCTTCTTCAACTTCAATACAATTAGTATTACTAATAAAAAAATATTGTTTATGACTACAAGACTAAATATTGTAATAAAAAAATGTAAATTAATGAAATGACTGCACGGTTGGTGCGGTGGCTAGGCAACAACTCTTTGTGTGATCCACAAATCTATGTTCCGGGTCTGGGTGTAAATAAGGTGAGGCAACGACTTCTTTTAAAAAAAAAGAAAATATATTAATTCTTCAAAATAAATAGTAGTTACCTACCTACTTATTTAATTAACTTCTTTGATTCTACTATCGTCTCCACTTTGGCGGAAATCATCTTTGCCTTAATCCTTCTTTTTCAAAACTCGAGATATATGAAATCGCAAATAAGCTCTTTTAAAAAAATATTTAAAAAAAAATCTTTAATTCAGTAGATTGCATATAGGTTTTGACTTTGAAAGTTTAAATTAAAATCCACACAGCATAAGACTCTCTCAGAGAAGAATGTGTACCCACCTAATTTCAGTGCTTAAAAAGTACTGCTTGGCTATATACCATTTATTCGTCTGATGCAAGCCTGCACATTGGTCGATCATGGCTGATGCAATGAACAAGCTTTGGCTCTCATTACTCGAGGCCGGGGAAGGGGCGCTGACCCAAGCTTTTTTACTGGAAAACCGTAATTATGCTCCAATACAGAGATTATAATGACCGGTAGATACTTTGTCCTTCGTACTAAATACGCTAGTTATGTGACTGGGAGTAAACTGCGGGAATCAGTAAACGACCTAGGCAGTAACCTAATTAGCTTGCATATCTATTATTTAGTTTCAAATCTTATGCTTAATATTATAAATGCGAAAGTTACGATGCTTGGATGTTTGTTACTCAATAACGCCAAAATGGCTGGACGCATCTGGATGAAATTTGGCACAGGCATAGGATGCACTCCGGAAAAGACCAGCGGCCGTGGTCGAGTCGAGTTGGTCGAGCCGAGCCATTCGTGCCAGTGCTTTGGCTCTCCCACACTTAAATATTCAGTTTTTTTCTTGTGTCTTCGAGGCTAAGTAGGTACATCGACACCACTAAATTCTACTACTGGAGTCTAAATACATCATCAGCCTGATGTCGTCCACTGCTGGACATAGGCCTCCCCAATTGCACGCCACTGAGCTCGATGTTGACCCTGCCCAGTCTAAATACACAAAGAATAATTTGTGGATCTCATTGAGAATTAGGATTGCGTTTACAAAATAACAGATTGTAACTGACAACTAACGCCATCTATACTATCTATTGAAAACTACGACACTGTCACGTTGCTTTGTTTTGATCGTAAAGTAAACGCGAAATGTATGCACGAGGTCTCGGGCTCAAGCTCACCTTGTATTTAAATAATTGGTCTATGTTACTGCGACGTTTGACTGTTTTGGTCGGATTTGTCGTCTTATTGATTTGACAGAGGAGATGCACATTAAATTCTTTGCAATAAAGGTCCACATTTGGGTCGGACTCACCGAGTTTAATGTATAGTTATTTTAGACCAATGACCATTGTCTTTATTTTGTTCTCCCTACCATGTAGTGAAGTTTGAAATAAATCTGGCCAGAAGAGAGTACCAGATGCAATATTTTCCAAACATTTGCTTATCTTGATCAAAGAATTTCCTCTTTCCTGGGTTTTCTTATTGCATTCGACACATCCACCGTAGTGCTTACTTGCTCTCTTAATAGTATCAGCATTGACTGCATCCTAATCATTCAATCAGTTTCCCAAAATGTATAAAGAAGTCTAGTTACAAGATGTGACAACCTGGCTATTTGCAAACAAGGTTAATTTAATTAAATAAAAAAAACATGAATAATGTTTACATTATTTATTAAACATAATAAAATGGCAATAACAAAACATTATTCCTATTGGTATTGTGATCCAGGAACCATTTCATGTTAAATTGATTTTAGAATTATATCGACATAGTACAGATATAGTACAATTAAATACATGTTAATCTGATATTCTGTTTTCAAAGAACAATGAGAATGAAATCTGAATCAATGACCATTTTATTACAAGAGAATTTTAATACAAAAATCGACAATTCATAAAGGCACCTTTATTTGGTTACCGGAATATTAAAAAGTGATGTATTTGTCAGAATAAAAACTTCATGCTATCACTTCTCCATTCCCTGATCGAAACAAATATTTAACTAGAAAATATGGAAGTATTATCATCTTATTTACAATCCAGGTGAGGGAATAGAGAAGTCATCTACATGAAAAATTATAAACCAAAAACATAATACTTATATGCGTAATTCATAATGGAAACATGGAATCCTGAATTTCATCAAATTAATATTCACTAAAATTATTTTACACAATAATATTTGGTGTACAGATTTATTATTTTAAAGTACTATTGCCAGCTACTAAAATAATAAGTCAATAACTGCAATAATATTTAAATATTTAGAAATATATCTTAATATTTAAATAAAAACAGTAAAAGATTGTATAATCTATATTGCTTGTATAACAGAATACAACCTACGATGTAACATTAAAAAAATAAGATTAAGAACTCAAATCTAATATCTTTGTGATTATAATAGGTATATCTACAGGCATATAATTTATATAGGATCTCCTTACATTAATAAATAAATGTTTAGTCCAAGTGCACACTAGATTGTCCCCGTCATCATTCACCCTTCAGTGTGATCAAACAAAACTCATCATCTTTTTCCTATGACACTGCACATTTGAAACACAATTAAAAATCCAAAGAAGTAAAATATATGTATACATTAAAAGACTACTATTAAAATTTTACCAGAAAATATTATGCAAAGATTTATTCAGCCAAATGTTTTTTTAATTCAATTTTTTTTTATCAGCAACTAATGAATGGGCTAAATACTCAATATCAAATTAGCATAATTATTTAAATCCTTCATAGCCATTTCCATACACAAATTCTGTAAGGCAATAACTAAAGGTCAAAACAAAATTATCTGTTTTTTCTAAATCAAGAAAGTGGAGAAAATTACAGTTGCAAAATTACATTCAACACATTAAGAAAATGTACCCATGAATTTATTTACTAATTAATACCAAATAGGGTTGGATGATTGGGAAAGAATTAAAAAGCCATCTATGAGATACTAAAATAAAATTATAGGCACAAAAATACTACTGTCACAAAGAAAAATATTTACACCCGGTTTCTGAAAGGCTTGTCAATGCTAAAATTAACTATCTCTTGTCAAGTCATCTGATTGGTTGTTGATAATTCAGTAAACCAATCAGATGACTTGACAAGAGATTAAATTGATTTTAACATTGATCGGCCTTTCGGAAACCGGAGGTTATTCAAAACAAATTTAAGTACCAAGTGTCATTTAGCTATGACACAAATAAAATTATACTAATGTCTTTCATTAATCTGTTATCTACCAACCCTATCTCTGTACCTTACCATAGGACATTAAGGCGAAATATGTAATTAGTATTAGATAATTATCAGTAGGCTCCAAGATTGGGTGATTTTAGAGGTATGATGAAGAAATTCATCAGCATCTACTAAAATAGGATTAAACCATTTCAAAAACATTACACCTGGTATATTTTAAAGAGTAGGCTGGGGTGCACAATATAATAGCTGTTGCCTTACTCCGAGCACAAATCCAGACCCTATGCCACTAAGTAACTAAAACATGAACATTTGTTAATAACTTAAATTGTTAATGTGGTTTATTCATCCCATTGTCATGACAAATGGTGCAAATAATGATTAATGTAATTTTACAACTTTAATGTGTTTTTCAACATATAGTTACATATAGTCAGTGTTCCACAAAATTGCCACCTTTCCTTGGAGGACAATCACTTCAATATTTAAAATTTACTTACAATTAAATATTTCACATTTAGTAAACATTCAGACTATTTTGATATAATGTACAATTTGCAGTTATTTGGTTTACAGGTAAGAACATAAAGATTGACTTAATACAGAAATAGTAGCAATTGTAACATTAGATTATATAATTTATAATGGAGCCATATATTTTATAAGCATTGGTAAATTCTGTAGTTACTATCTTTCTACTGAATCATTTCTAATTTTTGTACTTACACACCAAATAATTGCGCAGGCTGTCCATTATGTATGAGACAACTAACTATTTTAAGTTATCATTACACAATATTGAAAAATCCACATAACACATGCTGGTAAAATATGAACCTGACAGGTAAATAAGAATTTGTGTAATATGTATGTTTATATCAATTCATCCTGAATGCATTATGCACAATAAATCTCAAAACTTGTTATACTATATCATATAAAAACTTAATTCTATGACTGTGTCATTATGCCAGTTATGAATAAATGCTAAATAAGGCATATGATAACATCATAAATTTATCCTTAACAATAGAAGCTGCTATTATTGTTCCTAGCATGTCATATATTAAATTTATCTATATATTATGAATTTTTACTAAAAATTATGTAATTACCCACAGTTACACCATACAATAATAATTGAACACTTTTTTGTGCTTTTATTTGATAATTGAAATGCCATATCCAAAATTTGAAAGACAAGTTAGTTATTATTTACCGTATCAACCTTATCTATAAGAACAAGGCCTTAGTAATTTAACTATATTCTAATACAAAATTGATATAAATCAATATATATAATCATATTTTCTGTTTTTATATCACAATGACATAACAACACAAAATACAATAACTTAGCTTTCACAATTATTGCACACGCATTTCAAGTATTGTATAAATGTTTCCTCATAATATTGTACACCTTGGTGTAACATCCACTTATCATAAAGTACATCACATTTCACATGTTGGGGCTATAATACAATATATTATAATTTAACTTAAAGACTACTATTGAGTCACTTCACTTCTTTCTTTAAAGTTACAGTCTTATCTGTTTGCTTAGCCGAGGGTTTGGCTGTGGATCATTTCTTCTTTCTGTCCTGAGTACACTTAGGGCAGTACCATTTACCTTTGGGCTTGATCTTAAGGTCTACACAGGCAAAGTGGAACCATTCTATAGGGCAGTCAGGATTGTCACATCCAATCATCTCTCCATATGATACTTGATGGCAGAGACAGTATGTGGGCTCGTTTGGATCCACAGGCATATCCAACACATCACTGGGATGAGCCATTCCTCCTACAGAATCTAAATCTGCATTTTCCTCCTGTTCTTTAGAATTATTAGCAGTAGCTGCTGCACCTTTACGTACCGCTTTTTTCTTTGCTGCCGACCTGCCCGAAGCGACAGCGTCGTCTTCGCTAGACGCTCCTGCACGTTTCTTTTTGCCAGTGGTAGCTGCAGTCTTGTCATTAATTTTACTCTTCTTTCTACCCTTCTTGACTGTGGCAGCATTTGGTTCCTGGTCGGCAGCGGCCTGTTGTGCGGCACGTGCGCTCATTACTTTCTCCTGTATCTCAGATTCAAATCTTGCGAGGTCAGAGTCAAGGCGACGTATGTGCTTATCAACTAATTCGTAGGTCTGTATTGCAAGTTGCACTTTGTCGTCACCGTACTCCTTGGCTTTGTTAAATAGTCCTTGAATGGTATTTACCTTTTCTTTCTTGGTTTCTTCGTCCATTTTCGGGATTTGTGGTAGCAACTCGTCAGCCATAAGGTCGATCGTCCTCATTAATCCGTGTGCACGGTCATCTAAATCACGCATTAACTTAAAGTTTCTCTGCAACTCTATCGGCAGATGTTGCAGACTGTCCAAATAATGTTCTAAATACAGTGCAGAAGTCATTTTGCAAAATTTAGCTACGATGTAAAAATGAAAGTGCGAAACACCGATATTATAACAACTGTTACACTGATAATACTATCACTAAAATTATTTTAGTTCTTTTTTTAACAGAGTCATTTAGTTCTTCTAAACTATTTAATTTAGTTTAACACATAAAATTAACTCGGAAATCCCGACAGATTCACGTTATGCACTTTGCAACAATAAATTTCGTTTCGTTCAAGCTCAAACAAGCGATTAATAGTGATCAGTATTGCCAATTATTTAATTGTGGTTTGAACTTTTGAAAATAGCATAGCAACAATTAAAATTGTTCTATGTTTTATTATTAAATTAAAGAAGTAAAAAATGTTTCGATCACTCTAAGACTAACTCCACCCAGATGTACCCATAAAAAAATATACCTTTTTCTTGATGTTTGCTTAAAATATGGGCACCTATTATTTTAATTGGCTACCCTGAAAGATAAGGCGCGTAACGCGTTTCGTTCGCGTGATATTTTATTTGATTTTACTTCATCATCCATCAATTTAAAATACAATTTCCTAAACATTTTAGAGCACATAATAATTTTTCGTCTTTCTGGATTAGGGTGATCACAGAATATCTGTTCTCATCAAAGACTGATTTTATAAAAAAAAATGCAAATAAAACCTATTGTTACTCAAAAAATACATTTCATTTTTCAGAGACTTTTCAATAAGAGGAAAGAGATCCCAATACCTGTGCTGCATGACGGGCACAGCGAACTTTAAAATATACCTATAAACAGAAGGGGCATATAAATATTGAATTAAATACTATAATTTAAAGATGGTGTTGTGGGTATCACATCAATATAAATTAATTTTAACTTTGTTTTAATATTATTTATTCAATTTTAATCAGATGAGGTGGCCCTATTATTTATTAATTCATTTCATTAGTTCGATATTAAATTGTTTTAGGTATGTATGTTTAAATTTTAGCTAAGACTACACTGGAATCCAGACAATTTGTACTTTTTGATAGTCTAAACTCTAAGGTGTATTTATCCTTTAGCAGCAATGATATTGTATAAAAATTTAAGTTAATATAATATAATTAATTGATGTTAATATAATATCATTGTTTAACAGTTTATTATTTCAGTGTGCATTTATCTTTTGATAATTTATTATAAGTATAATTATAATCCAGCTAGGTGGACTGACGACATTCGCAGGGTGGCTGGCAGTGGTTGGATGAGAAGAGCTGAACATCGAGCTCAGTGGCGTGCAATTGGGGAGGCCTATGTCCAGCAGTGGACGACAACAGGCTGATGATGATGATGATGATGATGATGATTATAAGTATGTACATTTTGATTGATATAGCTTAGGAACTAGAAGAGTGATGAGATGAATCAAGGTATTTACTATTAAAACTTTTGTTCATCAACATAATCAGAACCTGTATGCTTTTATTATGCAATAAGCATAATGGTAGTGGATGTTCCGACAGCCTTTTCATACATTTTTATAGTGTCGATCTCCGTAAATATGACACTTATTCAGTTACTATTTATGGATATTATGGATCGGTCTTTGGTTACTAAGTACCTAATCCACATATCTCGTTTGGTAACATGCTGCTGCATCTGATGAATAAACTTTTCATTTGAAGTTTCTGTTATTTGTTCGTACCTACGTAGCCAGAAATCAAATTATTGGTATTGCAAATAATAATTGGAATATATTGGTTAGGTGAAAAAGTTAAATAGGTATCAGTCGCGTCATGTTGTCTAAACAAATAAGTAGAAAAAATATAAATTGATGTCTATAATAAAACTGAAGTAGGTGTGAAGACCTACGTGTACAAGACAGGTGGAAGTTATATGATCCATGGTCCACCAAAATATGCAACTTATTGAGAGAATCTCTCATTCAAAAACGAATTGTTTTGACTTTTACGCTTACAATAATTCAGATGAAATAAATTTCAATGTAATAGCATTTTTTTTAAGAAATCCCAGATTTTCAGGTATCTGTCGTAAGGAAATAAATAAAATAAACAACACATTTAACTTATATTGTATTAGCAAATAAACAATTTATAAAATATAATTCTTATTACACAATGAAGTCCATGATACGAAGCACTTCAGCTTGACACCGTCATTGGTTACCGTGTAACTTTACAAGCTGCTTAATTAATTGCTTTATTTTTCCTGAACATTAATATGCAGTCACATTGTAACCAGCAAGCGACGTCGTATGTGGACTATTCGGCGATTACAACAATTTGCTTTCCATTTTAATATTAAAAATTATAAACATTTAAGAAAAAATGCAAATAAATAATTAGCAATTGCCATTGACGGCAACATAAAGAGGCGATCGTATTCTACATAATATAAAACATGCTTTATCATTTCCTTACAGCTATAATTACATCTCTTACTAGTTTATCGTGACCATAACGTACATTACACTACTTCTCTACATGCTGCTCGTACTGATTATTACGCAACAAAAGTAGACATTCCAAACTCCATATAGCATAGTACAAATATTTTCTGGATTACACATGATACACTCGAATTCATATCAATGATTACTCCATAAGAAACAAGACTTTATTTACAAAAATGGCGGGTTTCATGACTTTCAAAACTATCATTAGGTACCAGGTCGGTACCATTTTTGTAAAGGAATAGTTCAAGTTGGTTTGTAAATAGGGGTATTCTCGTGTCGAAATAATTACTAAATATTCACCCCCACTATACAAAATCATAAGAACGAGAAAAGTACATACATAAAACGATTTTGTAAACTTATGCCTAGCTAGGTACAACACTACATTATTTAGAAAATTTGGTACACATTCGTTGCTCATTTTAATATTAAAACGTATTAAACACAGTCGCGTGGGAACAGTGAGCAACTAAACACATCGGAATGTATATTTCAGGAAATTGAAAAAGCTCACACAGGACACTATACTGTTTAGAGATATATATATAGTTAAAAGAAAACTTTTGAGATTCCTTTCTTACCTACATACAATTACAATAGAGTACACAAATCATCCAATATAATTTTCCACTATTTGTGATGATACAAAATGTATAAAATGGAAGTTAATTGTATTATTTTGACGAAAATATACAATCGTTATATATTATGTAATTGGCACTACATACGCAGGTCACATATTATATGAAATTACAAAACGTTTTATTATACTGTAAACATTGCAATCTTAATCGTAGGAATAGGCGTCTAATTTATTTTCCACCTAACAAACATTCCTAATGGAAACTATTACTGTTCATAAGATATATTATAAGACTTTATATGAATAATAGAAAGAACACTCTCCATAAATCATAACGACGCACCATATATTGTTTGCATACAAAACATCGACTAGCAACTTCATAATCCTGTTTTAAAGCATTTTTAAATTCATAAATAAAATTATACATTTCAAGAATCTCAAACGTAATTTCACAACCGTTTATAAGCGGTTTTCAGGGTCAAGACAAATATTATAAATTCAAATTTATTAAGAAGCTAAGCACCATGCAGTAAGTTGTGCTAAGGTGGGCCTCATCAGTCCAAACACAGTAGCAGTGAAGTTACTCAAACGACAGCTACATATTGTCAACGTAATAAAACATCATTCTGCCACCATTCATCCCAAAAGGAAGAGTAGATATTTATTAATTTAATACTACTATCTATCCATTCTCGTCTACTACAGTTATATTCAATACCGCGTATATAATATTTTTGGTTTTATATATGAAACAATCAGTAAACATCCGTCCGATCTTTCCCTAAGACTAGCCAATAAACCTTTCGTCTGTTATAATCATCAATTTATTATTTATTATCAAACGAATTATACGATATTCCATGCAATGCACCATGTTTTACCTATAATATTGACCAGTGACCTACTAGTCGAAGAGGACACAGCAAAATGGAATACACAGATATGAAAGATCCTTTCAAGACATACATAGATTCAAGTATAAGTATTAAGATAGAGCTAAAGGTGAAGTACTCGTCATTCCGCGATGTCAAATTTCACAATAAGTAAGAAGGGAAGGGGCGGGGCGAGCGGAGGAAGCGAAGGAGTTAGACGAGCGTCTCGTACTTGTCGAGGACGTGCGCCTGGTTGGAGTCGTCCCCGTGCGAGCGCGAGCGGGGCCGCGCGTCCGCGGGCGCGGCGCTCTTGGAGCGCGCCTTCTTGTCGTGGCCGCACGTGCAGGCCACGGACGCCTGCCGCTTCAGCGTGTGCGGCCGCGCCGCGCCCCACGCGGGGTCCAGCGACTCGCTGCGCGCGTACTGCGCGCGCTTGCCGCGCCCCAGCGTGGCCGCGCCCGCGCCCTGCCCGCCGTCCGACGCCGGCCGCATGGACTCGCTCCGGACGCACACGTTCCCGCCCGCTCGTCTGAACGAGTCCAGCACTCTTTCCTCGATCTCTTCTATATCCTTCTTCTTCACGAGCCAGATCTCCTCGGAGCCTCTGGTGAAATAACTCGACCCTTTGCTCACGGAGTATTTGTCCTTCGTTTTAAATTTACAAGTCTTAAAATTATTCTGAGTATTTACATCGTCGTTGACCTTGTGTACTTCTCTAGAGCGGGCGGGGTCGGGAGAAGCGACGTTTCGGAAGGCGGTGCCGTGCGACGGGAACTGATCGGGAATTTTGGCACCGAGGCTAGGCGAGCGTATCGTGACGTCGACCGGTGAAGGCATCGGCTTGAACTCTGGTTTAATTATCTTCTGGGGCTCGGGGCGCACTTTGTCGGGTTCTGTGGCCCCGTCAGACCGCTGCCAACGCGGAGGCGCCGCTGCACTGCGTGTAAGACTCAGTTGCCGTTCCAGAACGGACGGGGCAGTACTCAACTCAAAATGAACATTATCCTTGAAGGGAGTCGCAGGTGGTGGAAGGTCCTCTCGGCTATTGTCCGAGCCGAGTCTCTCAGTTCGTGGCCGTCCTCGCACTGATCCAGGCCGTGATAAACGGCCCGTGGTGCCGCTAGCGTCCTCGGCCGCCTTCTCAAATTTCTTAATTTTATCCCCAACTCCATTAGATTCCTCTGACTTGGCTGTCTGTTCACCATTCTTATCGGTGTCTTTTTCAACTTTTGGTTCTTCAACTTTCGCAACATCGTTACTTTCAATTGGACGAGTTACTTCTGTCGAGACGAGAGATAATTTTTCGACCTTGACGGGTCCTTCTTTGGCAACCGGTGATTCACGCCAGGGAGTGCGAGGTGTGCTAGGGGCATCATCATTCTTCTGGACCGTCGAGGGCTTATTATCGGGAGCTGGAGGGGAAATCACCTCTGACCTCGGAGGAGTCGGCCTCCTCGATGGAGGTGAAGTGATATTGTTTACAGGCTGTGCCACAGGTCGCACAGGCGGAGACTTCACCTGCGGGGAATCAACAGGGGGTGGAGATTTGACGGGTGGAGATTTGACGGGGGGAGATTTAACGGGAGGAGATTTGACTGAAGGAGATGGAATAGGAGGAGTTTTAACCGCGGGAGGGTCGGCGCGACGCGGGGGCGAGGGAGGACGCTCGCGGCTGGAGGCCGAAGACGTGGAGGACTGGCGAGCCTGGCGCGCCTCGATGTCGCGGCTGAGGAAGGACGAGTTGCGCACGTAGCTCGTGTCGTCGGGCCGCGCCGCGCCAGTCACGGCCGCGCTGGCCGGCGCCGGCTCCGCCTTCAGCAGGATGGGCACGGGCTCGCCCGCGGCCGGCGCCGGCGCGGCGGGCGGCGCGGGCGACGCGGGGCGCCGCGCCGGCCCGGGCTCGGGCCGGGGCGAGGCGCGACGTCACGCCCGGGACTCGGTCCACTGGTCGGAGTCGTCGGAGTCGGAGTCGGCGCCCGAGCTGGTGTCGCTGAGCTCCACGGCCACGCGCCGCGCCAGGATGCTGGCCACGTCTAGGAACACGGGCGCGCCCCGCAACGTGTCGTACCGTCCCGTATTCTCGTCGCAGCGTTTCTCCACTTTGCGAAGTTTTATACCTGAAAAATTATATAATTCGTTAAAAACATAATGTGTACGTGATACAGTAGAAATCTGTTGACTTTCAAGACCTTTCGAATTAAACACTTACCATCGCGAATGGCCTTTAACAAGTCTGATCTGGGATCGGGTTGTGGGTCGGGTGTGGGACGCGGTGGCTTGAGGGCGGAAGCTCCACGAAGCAAGGCACCGGGCGAGGGGGGACGCGGCCGGTCCTCGGCGGGGGGCGGCGGCGGCGGGGACGGCGGGGCAGCGGGGGGGCGCAGGAGCTACGGGCGGCACTGACACGCCGGAGCCCGGGTGGCCGGCCGGGACCATGTGCCCTCCGGGGCCCAGCCCCCCGAGCGCGCTCAGCCCGCCATCTGCCTCCTCTGACGACATCATACCTGAATGCAAATGCGCGGTGCAACTTAGTATACCAATAATATGCTCAAAACGTAATGTATTTTTTTAAGCAAAAGTACATTGCACTATATGCAGTACAACCATTGTTGACGTGTTGATCAATAGAAATTAGATAGTGGTGAATCAAGTGAGTAAAGCTTTACCAGTTTTAAGTATCTTATTAATCGCGACATCACGTCGCATCACGTTATTCATTATTTCTGTTAGGTCTCTAGTAATGACTATACAAAACTAGTTGATAGTGTTCACCTGTTTAGACATAAAACATGTAATTTATATAGAATGTTACCTATAACGGCGTGCATGTGGTCGAGATGTGCATCGAGCGCGGTGCGGTGCGGCGGAGAGGCACCGTTCATCATGGGGGGCGACACCGTGCCCTCGGGGGGCGGCGGCGGCGGGGGCAGCGCCGACCTGGACGTACCACGCACAACTTTAGTCACCAATAATGATATGTGTTATTTATTCACTTACGACCAGTAAATAAACAACAGAATGTCCTATTTAGCTGGGTTTACACGGTAAAACTTGGCTTCATACGAGTGTAGTCTTAGACACATTATGAATGCATTACACTATAGAAATGCATGCCTTATAATATTGTTAGCGGTTGCGAGGTAACTCAAAAAATATAGAGCAGTAGTAATTCAACTCGGATGGGATCATGGGATGCCATCATCTGAGCACATCGGATGTGCGTGTTTCACTATACGAGTTGAGTCGGATTCGATATTTGAGTCTGAGTACACTCGTTCTGATCATGAAAATCCATCGATCACTAATAAAGAACTAGATACACAATCCCATATAAAAGTTCGCTTCAAAACTGTCGCCAACTGTATTTAGGTACTTATACTTGAAATAAACATGCATTAATGTAAATTAAACCTTAAATGCAACTCATAGAGTTGTTTTTACAAAGTGATATACAAAATCTAAACATTTTTTGCATAAATCATTGAACCATATTCGCATGTTTTTAAGTCGAATTTACAATGTGTCAAAAATGAGCAATAAAATTTAACGACTTCGGCTCACCGCTAGGACAAAGAATGATTGGAGTCGAAATGTCTCGTAAGAACTATAGTTCTTTCAATTTTTTTTTGATAATTTATAAAAAAACAATACGAAAATTAAAACGCATTACTTATAGTATTCTTTTCTATAGGTTTGTTCATTTATTTACCAATGAAACTAATGCATATAGTTATAATTTTTTTTTTATTATTTTCGTCCTCCTTAATCCTTCCTAAATTTGTAATATTCCAAATTCGAAGTCAAATGAAAAAGATGTGAAATAATAAAAAGAATATATATCTAAAGTAAGTATTGAAAATGTTGGCGTTATTGTTGTCAATTTTTCATATCGCACGGGATTTTGATGAAAGCTAAAAAAAATTTCTTTACTGCAGTTAAAATTAAATCCATTATATCTGCCTATTCCATATTTTAATAAACACAGTAAAGAAGTATAATATTAAATAAAAACTATTTTTTAATAAAAAAAAACAATAAATAAAATTAGAAACAATAGCGTCTCCGCTAAACGGAACAGAATCAATCCACGTAAACCGAACAACTTAAGTGGTCATGCTAGAGAATGATTTTACGTTTAGTTTATGTGTCTTTATAAACTGTGTGCATTATAACCCCGGTTTTTGAATACGATTTCATTTGGAAAAAGTTTTAAAGTTAATTTCTTAATAAAATATCAATATTTAAAATAGATTTTTTTTTTTATATTACTTAACGGAAATATGAAATTCCTTCCTTTTTTGCGTCTTAGATGTGTGTTTTTTGCAGTTTTTAAACGAGCACTGAGGCGTATTTACCGTCGGAGCATTCGAGTGGTACTAAACTAAAACTACACCGCGATGTTGAGTTTGGTGGACTTTCAGTTAGGACATTTTTTTGTCACTGATTGTGTATCTAGTTCTTTATTAGTGATCGATGTGAAAATCACATATTTAGATATTTTACATGTATAGGCAGATGCGAAATCTGCCTGCTCTGAGAAGAAACAAAGAATGGAACGGTCCCAAAATACGTTACCTGGTGGGAGTGTGTAGAGGCGGGGGCGAGGCGGCGTGCGCGGCGTGGACGGCGTGCGCGGCGTGGGGGGGCGCGGCGGGCGCGGGCGGCGCGGGCGGCGGCACGCTGGGCCGCACGCGGCGCGGCGTCCCCGCCCCACTGCCGCCGTAGATGGGCTCCCCGCCCACCGACCCGTACGGGCTCTCCTCAGCCACCACTACTGTAACATTCACATACTTATACCGTCTCATTCTAACAAGGTCACACTATCCCAGGGTCGCAGGTCAAGCGAAATTTAGGTACCGCAGTCTCGACCTTAAGCAGGGAAGGAACGAGGCAAGGGAAAGGAAGTTAGTAAGAGTAACACTTCCTTTCGCCACATCCTTGGCTAGAGAAGTCTTCTAGTTCTTGACATAACTAACTATCTTACTCATATTAAAAAACGGGAAAATTCCTAAGTATGGATGTTTGTCACCTTAAAACTACTGAATAGATTTGAATGAATGAAAATAAAATGGGATCGGGGTAGAATATAGGTAGCCTGAAATAAAACATGAAGTAGGTACTTTACCGCTCTGGCGGGAACTAGTTAAACAGTAAATTAATAACTAATAAAACAGATATGTCAGCATACATAATAAAAAAAATTGGTCTCTGTGTTTTTAGACCTCAAATTTTACTTAATCAGCAAAATACCTACGCTATGCAATTGGACCATTATTACAGAGAATGAAATGGATAGTACTTGACTTCAGAATTAAATATTCATTTAATTTTAAATACAATTTCTCGTTCGTTCTTACCATGTCCATTTCCAGTTATCCTGGGCTGTCTATTCTGTGTGTTTTCAATTTCAATGGAGTTAGGTCGCGCAGGTTGTACTGAGGGCGGCCGGTTCTGGGACGCTCTGTACCCACCCTCCGATATGTTCGTAGCTAAAATTAAAGAGTACATTAAAAATTGGGTTTTCAAAAAATAATTAATTTAGTAATATAACAACAAAAATTAGCCCATTAAAAATCTGCCTGAATTGCGAGTTGCGCACGAAGAGATACGAACGGTTAGTTTATTTATCATTTGATATTTGATAATCTATTAATAGAATTTATATGAATTCTGTCGTATTATACCCGTTTAAATAATTTTTTATATCGTTTTTACCATTTTTGTTATAGTCGAAACAGAAATACATCATTAAAATTCATACAATACAGCCTAGTGACAAGCAGTCAGACAGTGTTATGTCTATTTTAGTATTTTATATAGACAATATCACATATTACCAACTAGTAGCACATTGTACAGTAGGTTAGTAATAATATATAATGTTTAAATAATGTTCAGCTTTTGTATGAGACTCAAGCATTTAATTATAGGTGGCTCCTGTTTTGCCTGCCTTTTGGACGTGGAAACCTTAAAAGTATGTACTTTAATTTATTTCTACGTTCTTACCCTGATATACAGGATCGGGTTTGTACTGGGGCTCGATGTTATAGTGTCGCAGCTGGCTGGGCGCCATGATATGCTCCCCGCGCGTGACGGCGGCCTCCTTGAGGCGGTCGCGCGTCGAGTGCGGCGGACGGACGCGTCGCGCGCCTCTTCCCTCAGCGTTACCTCCGCTGCGGGGCTGGCGGACCTAGTAGTGATAATAAAAGACACATTTATAAATTGATATCTTAATTTTATTGGATAGTGACATCAAACAGCTACATTATAAATAGTGTGAACAAGCATTACAAATAAATGGATGAAAATGGCTGTTATAATGCAAGCCACAACGTTGTCTACAAATTAAGAACTTCAACCCACAGAAAACCGACGTGAATAAATTCTTGTACTGTATGATTTCGCGGCGTGAGTGAAGTTATCGGAGACTCATTTCTACCCCAAATCCAGAGGGGAGGTTAGTCAAATGAAGAATAATATTTAAATTAATATAGCAATGACTCAAAAGCTTATTCCCCCCTAAGGCCAACAACGCTCTAGCAACTCCTCGATGTTGCGGGTGTCCATAGACGGTGCCGGTTGCTTAGCATCAGATCTATGATAAGTTTACTCGTTTGCCAATTTATCCTATATAAACGTATTGTTTAGGGAACAATGTTTTAATAAAAAACAAAACAGATCATTGGTAATAAACTCTAATATTTTGGCACGGTTTTAATGTTCTCTAAACTTCGACGACCATTACAAAATCGACTACGTGGGCCCAACCATTTTACCATTTGAACGATAGATAAGTTAGCTTTTCGCCCCCAAATAATCATAAGGACAGAGATTTTCATCTTACCTTCTTCCCCCGATCGTGCTGAATGCGCTCAGTATCTTGCAGCATCTCTCGTCGCCACAATTCGAAGAAGTAATCTGGATCTGTGTAGAACTTCCTCGCGTCTCTTCCATCGTCTCTGAACTCGTTGAGCATTTCGAGCGGTGGTGGTCTGTCGCACCGCGCGTACGTTGATAGCATGGCCGACGGCATAGAGTTGCGCGAGAACAATTGTTGTTGGAAGGACCGCGCTGATCGGAACGCCTTGCGCATCTGTATGTCTTGAAGTGATACTGTAATAAAGATTAAAAGGTTTCATGTGTGGGAGAGCTATGCTTCGGCACGAATGGGTCGGGTCGACCGGAGTTATATCACGGCCCTACAGAAAACCGGGTTTAAACAACCACAGCGTCGTATTTCGCCATGTGAGGTTAACGGACGCCGAATCCTCCCCAATCGCTAAATCTCCAAATCCCTAATCCCCAAAAGGTTAGCAACGCGCTCATAGTTCTTCTGTTGTTGCGGATGTCCATAGGCGGCGCTGATTGCTGTCATAACATCTATGATTTGCATAACCATAGCAGTTTATTGAGATAATTGCAAGGTAAATCTCACCTTCTTCGACTCCAGAATCGAGTTGCGTAACCTTGATAGCGAGTCGGTCTATCCTAGCCTGCAACACGTTCGTTCGTTCGGCCAGATTCGTAGCTTCTCTCGTCAACTCCCCAAACATGTCCTCTGCATGTTTGGACAGCGATGACAATTGCCTGTAATAACAGAAATATATTGGTTAGTTTTTGATAATTGTTCCTTTATTATGGAAAATATGTATTTATGAGACAAGTTAAACAAACTGTCATAATGTTTTTTTATAATAAAAAGACGAAAGAACTTAATATTTGTATCAAATAAAATCTGAAAATATTGGACCAAAATTAATAAATGTTTAGCTAATAGACTTTTACTACTTAAAAAAAATTAAGCTCGAGATTTCTACACGAAAGCTACTGGATTGATTTTATTACATAATCACTTAAAAGATTATCTTTATTTTCTATGAAGATGCTATTTCAATAAAACATAATTGATGCTTTTTTAATCTCAAAAAATATAATAATATGTGTCGGCGCATTACTATGGCCATGGATCTATGATCTATGATATTGGTAGGAGGAGGCGACGCGCCGGCCGAGTCTATAAAACTCACGGCCGCGCGAACGCCGTCCTTCTTTCTTCACACACACTCGGCTGATCAACGTCAAAGACTTCGGGCATTTCTCTGTTATCGCGCCGCGCCGGTCTTGATGTAGTTTGCGAAATATACCTATGTTTTGTGCAGTCTCCTGTTTCATTTAAAGTAACCCGAAAGAGCTACAACAATATGTCTATAGCTTCTTCAAATTATTTCTCATTTGAATACAATAATAACGAATCCATTTTCCTTATAACATGGTTAATTAAAAATAATGTTATGTTAAAACAAAGAATGTCATACGGAACATAGAAGGAAAATAATTGTGTGAACTACAAGTATATAGAGGTCGTCATTCTGTCCGTCTATAAATATTATTTATGTAATGTCATGGACTAATAAGAGATTAGTTGCATACGTTTATATATTAATAATACTAAGTTAAAAAAATTGGTAAAAGAATCTAAGATACCATTTCTCATCGTCATCCGTCCATTGATGGACATAGGCCTCTTCAATTGCACGCCACTGAGCTCGATGTTCAGTTCTTTTTTTTTTAATTATTCTCAATACAATGTCGGTGTCGGTGTTATAAAAAAAAAATGTGATACATAACGAATACTAAACCAAGGGAGGCCGAGGTCAAGAGCGGTTCCGTTAATTAATAAAAGGTCCCTTTGAAGGAGGCCAAGCGATACAGGTTAATGGCAGAAATGAGGCTTCGAGGAAAACGCCGAAAATAGACATTTGAGAGGATTTAAAAAAATCTATACAACCTCTTTGTAAAAAAAACCTTGATGAGAATTACATAAAATATTATTCTGCATATTTTATGAACTAAGGTTTTGATACGAATAATTCTTTGATTTCAAGGATACCTTCATTGTTGCAATTGTATTGCACGGTTTAGATACCCAATCACTACCTACTATGTCTCTATTTAGACTTATTTTTTTATAACCTTTTTTAATATATGGATTGATTGAAGAAGAAGGTTGTAATGTATGTATGTGCAAAACAGAGGTGTCCCATAGAAACCTGATGACCTAAACACGTTCAAGGTTAGGAAGTTAATTCGGAAATACTTATTGTGTTATTCACTATGTAACGTTGACCAACAGTGTGAACCATCAGCTAATTGAGTCAGCTCAATTAATTGTACTCTTTTTATGGACACACCCTGTTGTTCTACGTCAGCCGAAATTGGTAACAGAGTGCATAACCTAGATATATTCAAATAACTTGCGTTTTCTATAATGTCTTTAGGTTGGCAAACAAGTGGGCGGATTACCTGATGGTAAGCATTCGGCTCCGTCCATGGACACTCGTAATACCAAAGAAGTTACTACAAGTGTGTTGCCAGCGTCTTGTGGGTTGTTAGGGATTGAAATATAGAGGATGGAAGGATTGGGCCTTCCGTAACCTCACTGATATGAACCTCGTGTTGCTTGACGCCGGTTTTCTGTGAGGCCGTGCATGGCTCTTCTACACTTGTGTCTTTAAATCGTGCAAATAATTTGTGGCAAAAAGATGCCAAGTACTCAGATTTGGACTTAAAATACCTATCCTGGATTTTCGTCACTTCATGTTATCAGCAATATTATAAACAATCAGAGTTATTCTAGCAACCGCCAGAAAAGTTGTAATCCTTCCTGTACCCTTTTAATCCAATATGTTGTACTTTTCTGTGGGATTACATGAAATTACAGATCGAAGTACACGAGTTTTTTTACCTGACAGTATTAGCGAGCGTGCCATTGGTGACGGCTTCAAGCTCGGACGGGACCTGAAGCCGCTCGGGTACCGTGCCACGTGACACATGCACGGGCTCCACGCAGCGTTTCGGCAGCGGCATGGCTGCACAGCGGCTCCGCTACCTCGTGTACATCACTGGAACAAATGATATAATAACTTTAATTATTTATTTATTTATGCTTTATTGTACACAGTGAAATGAAGTTGATACAAAGGCGGACATAATGACACATGGCTTTCTCTACCAGTCAACCTTTAAGTAAAGTGGAAAATCTGCGAAAAATGGATAGTTTCAAAATCAAGCCTTTTAGGAATTGCAGTAGGTACGCCCAGCAAGTTGTAGGTTTCAAAGAATTTCTATCTGTCCTTAATGAAATAAGCTGTTGATATAAGAATCCCTCTCTGATTTTCACCTCACAAAAATGGTCCCAGGAAGGAAAATGATTTTAATTCTAAATTAAAATGATGTTGTGAAACTATGGTGTTGTTTTTTCTTTTTTGCTAACAATTTCCTTGACTTTCATTCAGTTAACATAATGTTAATGAATCATTTTAGTGAATATTTTTTCTTTTATCGCTTTTAGGTGTGGTCAAGTAGTTTTATCATTATCTAGAAAGCGATATACATCTGTTGTGTCTATGTTTGGTAATTGATAAACTGTATTTTTCTTATCACTAGTTTATTTAATGGTAATCGAGTTTTGAAAAATATATCGTACAAATGTAATTTTAAACTATTTCGTCTTGCCAACAATACGGTGGTAGATTGATAAATTGTTACCGAAACCGGTTAATTGCCAAAAATACTTTTTCCAACTAACAACTTACTGCAACAGAATTTTAATTACGAAATAGAAAATGTAATTTTAATTAAAGAATCCTTGAGATTCTAGTTCAACGGCGAAATGTCGAATTAAATGTAGAAAATAAAATACATTAGCTACCTACAGTTTATCATAGCGCTATTTTCTATACAAATAAAGTCTAGTCAATAACACACTTCGAAGCTATGTGGCTACAAGTGATATCGCAAATGACTCGTTTCCTCATTTATTTGTCGATGCCAGACGGAACGTGATCTCTGTCTAAAAGAAGACAATTCATTTCTAGAAAACATTATACGAGTACGTCAAAAACAAAATCAGCTATTAGAAAATCTGCATCACTGGACGAAAGATGGATTTCCTGAAAGTGACCTTCACGTTAGATCGTTGGTGATGAGATCCGAGATGGCAGTATAAAAGGTTTGGGTTTAGCAGTGTTTTTTAAGCAGGAAAATTGTCCAAACCCCTCCCCCCCTCTATCCAGTGGACGAAGAGGGAGTATCAGACTTTCTAAATTGACTAAAAACCACCCTGTTCCTTATCCTGCTCCAGACCGAGGCCACGGTACATGATTACGTTTGCACTTGAAACCGCAACTGTTATCCCGTCTCTGTTAATATGTAGATCTTTTTCGCTTGCAGGACGAGCAGAAGTATGTTCCCTACCCTGACGCCACTATAAAAAAGTCAAAAGTCAAAAATCATTTATTCCAATTAGACCTTTACAGGCACTTTTGAACGAAACTAAATTTTGAAGATATATTGTCAGTCTGTCGGTCAGTCCTCTTAGTGAAGCTATTATCACTATAAAGTAGTACACTATTACACTACATAATCACTACAAAGTATAAAGCAAAGTCGCTTTCTCTGTCCCTATATCCCTATGTACGCTTAGATCTTTAAAACTACGCAAAGGCTTTGCCTTCTTTTCAATAGAGAGAGTAATAGAAGAGGAAGATTTATATGCATAATAACATCAATTAAATAGTGGAGAAATTTTGTATAAGCATTGCACCCGTGCGAAGTCGGGGCAGGTCGCTAGTGTACCAATAAATTAAACTAACACCTGCTGTAACATGGGCATGCATAGTATGGTCGCACGATAGGCAACGTTGTAGTGCAAATTCCGGCTTTCCGTCATTTGTTCCTAGTAATTATTGAGTTATTAAGTTATCCACACATTTTTGCAGCGGAACGACCGTGCGTGTTATAGCATGGAAGTGAGAATAAGGTTTTAGTTCTGTTCCGCTGTTCGTTTCACTAGAACACGGTCTTTATAGGCTTGTGGGTCATCTGTATAAGTTTGTGTCTTATTTTACTGACAGTTATTCTTAGGAAAGGGTGATACTGTATCCAATAGGCACACTTCACACAAAATAGCATTCCGAATCACTATACTTATCTCCAATTTAATCACTATCTAGTTAAATAAAAAAAATGGAACACTGCACACACTTACTCAAGTTTTCCGAAACCAAATTAGAAGTAGGGTCTACATACGACTAAATGACTAAGTAAGGTAGCCCTAACTCTACCAAAGCTTACGTAAATATTATATTTATAGGTTTCCCAATGATTAAGTGCTCCACTGCTACGCCTGTCAATTTTGGACAAAATGGCGATGTTTTTTCATTTCAATAATAGGTACGTGGCTTCATTTAATAAACATATCTTCTAGTAGACTAGTCATTATCATAATTATGAGCATAGATGGTGTCCAGAAGTTGGCCATTCGCCTGTAAATATCCCATAATCGGGTTTACGTCATAAAGGGACCGCGTTTCCCGAAAATAGCTCATGTGACATGTGCGTTTATCCGCACTACGAGTATATTTAGGATCGCATGAGTACGTGCTGTAGAATTATAAATTGACAACGAATAGGAGAGGTCAACCACCTAGTAATGTTTCCTGGACACTAATGTGTGTCACGTAGTAGAAAAATTATGTATGATATATCACTGATTAGGACTTTTGTTTCTGTTACAAAATAATAAGACAAAAAGATAGCCAAATACTAAATGACATTATTCGCTTTCCTAATTTCAAAATGGCCTGCCAATTACTTCAAAGAGGTGCTTACATCACTGAATACTTAATTCTAAATGCAAAACACACCATACAGTTAATTATTGTCATAAATAATGAATGCTAACATTACTTAATGTAAAGTTTATACAAAATACGTGCTTATTTAACATTCCTAATAGTTCCTATCAAGAAATGACCTTCGTTTTTGATAAATACTTTGAAAATTACGACATCAGCAGTTCATTATGGTTTCACTGTTGTAAAGGTACTTATAGTCCTCCTCTAAGCTTTGAGTACCCAGTCCTCAATTCCCTTTGAGATAAGAGGGGAATGGTGGAGTGAAAGCCGGAATCCTGTCAATGCAATTAAAGTCGGTTCTGTTCGATATTCCCACCCCGTAATGGAATGCTTTTAAGGTAGGTACACTATAGAATAGTAGCACTATTCTATAGTGTACCTACCATCTAGACTTTTATGTAGTAACACTTGTTCCTGTGCTATTTTAAAGTGGTTTTCGTATTAGCTTCTTTTGAGTAATGAACTGGTCGTTTTAGTTCCAATTGACTGCATATTGTTTCTGACAATGTAAGTTTATTAAAAAAAATCGTTGCCTTTTAACCTTTCAATCGTAGTAATTCGAGACACAATGGCTGCACGAACGCCAGCGTTCGTTTGGGGTTTCATTGATTAATACAGTTTACTTTCTTAATAGGGAAAAACAGCTGAAAGACTCATATACCATACACAGGCTAGGTTTAAAATCATCCTCTTAGTAAAGCTAGACTACAACTGACCTATTTGAAACATAATTTGGTGTTACAGCATCGATTATGTCTTCTTAACAAAAGGTTTGCATCGAGAATACTGGCATTAAATGAATGGTGTCGTTTCGAAATGTCAGTGGCGTGCGGCGTGCCGAATCAAAACAATACGGAGGCGAACGGAATGTAGCAATGCAGATTTAAATCATAATGCTAACTGTTTGTACTCACTCTAACTGTAACAGTTACCGTCTAAAGGTTTTCTTCGTCAAGGGAATGAATAGGAAAATGCTAATGCGACGAAACCTCTGCCAACTGTTTAAGAAATTGCTTAGGAAAGACTTTATCGACATAGTTGGCATTCTTATAGGTAATGTTTTAAGACAAAAGATGGACGAAGACAATACGGGTTTTTATTTGTAAACATTAACTAGAATGACCTTAAAAGGAAGCATTCAAATTAAATAGAAATATGTTGTTGTGCTGAAGAAAAAATTCACGGTAGGGTTCGGGAGACGGGAGAGCAGAAAAACACATACCATGCAAACCTTTTTGTATGGTATAAGTCGGCAAACGAGCATACGGATTACCTGATGGTAAGCAATCGGCGCCGCCAATGGACACCCGCAATACCAAAGGAGTTACGAGTGCGTTGCCGGCCTTTTGGGAATAGGGGTTGCGGATAAAAGGATCGGGAAGGGATTGGGCCTCCGGTATTCTGTGAGACCTCCAATTAGTAAGGAGAAGAGCAGACAAAGTTAGTTTGTAACAGCCTTCAATTATCATAAACTGATTGTAGTTTATCAGCAAAAGCTCGAGACTGAAGAAGATAGCTTTGTTCCTTTACCCAATGTTACAAAGATCATTCAAATAATATAAACTTTTGTTTGACTCTCGTAGTACAAACTTCCCACAACGTTTACAATCGTACAATGATAGTAATTAGTCACATTAGCAATTAGATCACAACGCTAGTACCATTATACACTACACACTATAACTTGTACTGTTAGTTCATTTACGTATGAATCACAGGAAAACTGTTATAGATAAGGTTTTTTGACAATATGTTACGAATTGATATAATTCTATTTTTGTAGCAACTTATAACAATTACTTCTGGATCATAATACATCTGTTTTAATATTGTAGTTTTTTTTATGGTGTAGGTCTGCAAACGGGCTGACGGATTATCTGATGGTAAGCTATCAGCACCGCCCATGGACTGGACGTTAACGGCCTTTTAGAAATAAGGGTATCGGATATTTAAGGATTGGGGACTGGGATGGATTGGGCCTCCGATAACTTCACAGACACTGCAAAACACAACGCAGTGGCTGTTTCACGGCGGTTTTCTGTGAGGCCGTGGTATAACTCAGGTCGATCCGACCCATTCATGTCGAAACTCGACTCTACCACACTTTGTATTATAACATATTTACTTTTTTCGTTTTTATTTAAATGGTTGCCATACAATTTGAAATAAAACAATGGTATCGATACAATAAATTTCCGCTGCGT